GTTATTATATATGGTTTAAATAACTCAAACTGAGAGTGAAGTAAGGGCGGTCTGTAAGTGTTGTAATACATACTTTGGTTTGAAGTATGTATTGCATTTCATTGTGTGCTTGCCAGTGCTCTGAAAATCCAACAACTTGAAAGAGTCTTCATCATTAATGTGAGCCAGAAAAGATAAAGCTAAGTGTCATAGTAGATGTTAAGTTTAATAAACTTTCTCTGAAGATCTGAATTCATGTATTTAAAATCAAAGGAAAGAGGTCTACTGACAGGAAATGTGTACTGCAGGGAAAGAAGGTTAAGCTTTTTTTTGTACCTCTTGCTTGGAACCACAAAGGATGAACATTCAGGCAAAAGATTGAGTTAAAAATTGTCATTGTACTGTTTCAGATTGTAGTAGGTTTTTTGCAATACCTTGTGTTTAAGCCTTACATTGCTAGTTGCTGGAGAAGCAAGACTCCTTTTTAATGCATAAATGTAATTTTTGCAGCTGTTTCATTTTCAGTCTAAATGTCAGAGTGAAATGAAGTCTTAGGGGGCGTAGATATTAACACAATGAACAGAAAGTCATCAAAGATTTGGACCCTTAGTACCATTGATCTTGATGCGGTCAGCATCTTATCTGATCAGCATTCAGAAAACAAACTGACTTGGATAAATACCTTTCAAATAACCTTTTCAGAAGCCTGGATTTTCGAGAAAATACATGCAGCCAGTTCAGCCCAGAGAAATTAGGTGGTCGTCTCATTTTTGAAAGAGGCGATCTAGATGATGGTGACTGCTGAAGACTCTTAAGTTAGTGACAGAAACAGAAATAAAGCCTGTGAGTATCATTAAGTATGACAGCATCTCTTATATCCAGTATTATTTTTTGAGGCAAAGTTCTGTTTTTTTTCTTCCTGATAGTTGTTCTTTTCTGGTTTACATTTGTACCTTTCTGCAATGTTTAGTCATCATAGTCTGTCTCCTGATTTTCCTTGGCTCTCTAGAGGTCTTCTCTGCCCTGTGCCATTGCTGTGTGCCAGAAAATAATGTTCTGCTCATACAGAAGAACCTATTCTGCGTCACCAAGCAATTAAAATTTTTTGTGTTCAATCTCATCAGATACAAATAAGTTTCGCCTATTTACGAATCCATGTTGATACTTCTTTTTAACTTGCTAAGTACTACAGTTCAAAGGTGTAATATATACAAAGAGGTAAGTACGTCATCATTTTGGCAACTCCTCTTTGGCTTGAAGGTACCCAGTAATTTGGAAAATGCTAGCATAGCTGTCATTTATTACCTGAAAATCTGTGATTATTGTACCACACAGATCACTTTTTATTTCAATGCACTACTAAGAAATAGGTCTATTTACTCCAGGCTATACAGAGTTTGAAATTCAACTTGCAACTTAAAAAAACTTTCCTTCCCCTCAAAAAAAATCCCACTAACTTACTTGGTCTTTGCTAAACAGCATCAAATTTTTTAACTGTTCAAATCATTGACAAGAAAATAGAATAACCTGAGTCATGTTTTTAATTGCCTTGGAGATTTCCATGTGCCACTTAGAAATTTTAGTTAAAATGTCGTCCCCAAAAGAAACACCAGAGAACTGACAATTCTTACACATTTGCTGTCACAGCCAGGATGAAGGTTAAATTGGAAAAAAAACCAAGAAAAACAATGGGGAGATGCTGTCCTTTTTTTTCTGTACTTAACGGTACAATGTATATTGAAGCTTTTTGTTAATGACTTTTGTGTAAAAAGCAATTTCACTGGTCAGAGTACTATTTTAGTATTTATACTATGTCAGCGCTTCAGATTCAGCACTGTAAAGACTTGTAAACCTCCTAAAATACTGGCTTAAACTGTCACGTAAAAGATTTGCTTAGAATCACATCCTTACGCTGTTTATAGCATGAAAAAAATTCTGTATCTTTGCATCAGGAGGTGTTAAAAGACAGTCACTCTTCTGTGCCTCTTCTTTAGTGATAGGTTTATGTCATTTGACTTGATATGAAAAGTTGTTTTCTGGTGGGTGGCTTGTTGGTTTTTGCTTTGAGGCGGGGGAGAGGGGAGGTTGGTGGTTCTTATTGGAAGTTTTGATAAGAGAAACAGTTGCAATTACCAGACAGACTGGTTAATACTTACTGAGATTCTGCCTTACCTCTGATAGAATGAAGCAATCATTTTTAGTGAATTCATTGAAGATACATACATTATTGGTTTTTAACCTTGTTCACTAAGTGGGGATTCTAAAAAAAAAAAAAAAAGTTACACAATGCCACACTTGTATTTCAGTTTTCATGGGTTTATTCTCATTTGTAAGACTCTTACTGCAGTGTTTACTAACATTTTACATTTGCAGGGGACAAAGATAATCAACTAACAAAACTTTGAGGGATGAAGACCTCATTTTTTAAGTTTTTTAATAGTCTCATTAGTTTTCTTCGTAACACTTCAAAGTGAGACTACAATGCTTGCAACGTTTCCACTATTCAGAGTTCACGGGTGCTTATCTACCTAGGGTGCTTTTACAAATGAAAATATTATTCCAGATTCCCTTTTTCTCTTGCAATAAATCTGGTTGCAAAGGTATTTAAGTTTCACTTAGTACAGTCAGTTTGCAAAAATCTGGTTTCTGTTCAGTTTCCTGTTTGTGATGTATGTCTGGACCTGTGTACAGTAGGATAACTTTTCATTTTGAGGCATGGCCACCAACATCGCAGCAATGGATACTGGCTTCTTGTAGCAGGGCTGAGGAATGGATTTTGAATTCTCCCCCTACTGTCAAATCCCTTCCTGCCTCCCTCCCCCCTAGAAGTCAGATTTTATTTTAAAATCCATTTTGACAGACCATTCTGCTGGGAAGGATTCCAAGAAATAAATACTTAGCAGTTTCTTTGGCCTCCTTTAAAATCTTCTTGCTCTGTATAGCTCAAAAGAGATAGGAAAATCGTAATCTGTTTATCACCGTGTGTGTCTGAAATCCTGTTAGTAAGTTAATGTATGCAGAGAAGGATTTTCCTGAAGAGATAAATGTAATAACTGTAATTAGTTCTTGTTTTCTTTGCTGTAACTTAAAGGTGTTTAAAAGTCTCACAGTGATCTTTTGTTGGAACTTCAAACATTAGTTTGGTCCAGGGAGTGACCAGGGCTGATACCGATATTCCCTTACTCTTGAGAAACCCTATCCCTGTGAGAGAAACTTTTGCTTTAAAATTCTTTTAGAGTTTAGGAAAAAAATGTCTTGGGTGGCCATTATGCAGATAAAGAAGGGATATTTAAAACAGGATGATGTAGTTAATTTAAAACTATGTAAATCTCCACAATGAATTGCAGTATTTTTCAAACGTACAAGGAATACTTTACTATATCCACTTGTTCTGCTACTGTGTTAGCAATACGGGCTCCAGTACATCCCTTTTTTTTTTTTTCCCTCTAGAATTGAATGAGGTTCTTTTACTTCTGTGTTGTATTGTGTCCAGGTTTTAATGTCAGTCATATGAGCCCTTTAGCAGTGTTAATTTCTGTTTCTGACTAAACATTTGGACTCAGAGATTTGAAAGACAAGAGATTCCATTTACCAGGTGCAAGATGCAGCATTTGTTAAAGTATTTTTGAATTCAGACAGACAGACCCAATCACACAGAGTAGTACGGGGAAAAAAAAAATCTTGGGTCTCAATTAAAGGTTATTAAATATTATGGTTTGACTGCAGCAACCTTGTTGACTAGTGGACAGAATACTGTAAAATAAATGAAAAACCAAGAACACACCCCCCCCAAAAAAAAACCCCAAGCAAACAAAATAACCCCAACCCTCCCATGATTGCCAGGTTTATTTGGATTCTGTATAGCATAGCTAAAAATTTACTGAAGAGCCCTTCCTGGCAAGGGATTTAAAAAAAAAAAAAAATCCGTATGATGTAAATGCCTTACTATAATGTTTCTTTGAGCTTACTCCCAGAGAAATGTTTTATTTAGACATGATTTCTACAACAATTGTAAGAAAAATATGACCACCTAAAGTAAACCGGAAATACTTCAAACTGTGATTCTTATGTAGTTGAAATAATATAAGGATGCTATGTACTGTTTACATCAGTGAAGTACTAAATAATTTTATGTATACAAATATACAATCTACAATATGTAAAAATACATTTATGAAGCATATATATTTACAAAAGTACAATAAAAATTAAATACACAAAAATAGGAGGTGATAACATTTGAAATGTCCTTTAAACAGTCTGTGAGGCATGAGGAAGGCCTGCTGAATTGCAGGAATATTCAAACACAAAATTTACAAAGAATAACTGCACAAGCCAAGTATTTACAGGCACTGGGGTGATGTCTTCTGTCTTGTGTTCGACTTTCCATCCTGTCTAATCTTGTAACAAAAATTAGGTACAAATTAACACCTTGTGGATGGAGATTTTTTTGAGGAGCAATTTGTTTTGCAGGAGAGGAAATGGATTAATTGGTGGTGCTTTTCCTTATGAGTCACAACTAAAACATTTCCCAAATGGTGAAGGATTGCTGTCTCTCATCATAGGTTATTTGGTATGAGTTGTCTCACTTTGTGTCTCATAGCCAACGTAAACATACCGAAATCATATGCTAGGGACATAATAGCTAGGTGACTATTTCCAAAGCTTGAGCATTTAGGGTTATTTAAAATTATTACTTTAACAAGGTTTTTTGTTACTCATTATGTGTCGTCCATAAGCTTTTTTTCCCATTCTGACTCGTCTGGTTATATCTGCCAGATACATAAAGAACTTGGTCAGTGGGAGGAAAGAAACTCATTCTGCACAGAAAATGTATGGCATACAGGGACCTTTTCAATTCTGTTTGAGGCTTGAGTTACAAGCCTTGGACTTTAGAGAAGGGGAAATATCTTCACAACAAAAGTAATTTTTAAATTGGTATGAGAGAGAAGTTTCTTCAAATTATTATAGCTTTGTTTCAGTCTTGAGTAGTTTTTAAGATGATGTATATTTTCTTTCAGAAAACTGAGACATGGGAGAGCGAGAAGACTGAAGAAGACATGGAAGAGTATATCTGGGAAAATAGCTGCTCTCAGAAAAATGCCTTGGATACATTACTTCGAATAAAAGCCTCAGAGAATGTCAGTAATGTAACTAAGGAAGAGCTTCTTGCATCTGAAGTGGTTAAGAATTACAGAAACTCTGTAATTGCACTTAAAAATGAAGGTGAAACAGAAAATACCATGTCTCAGTATAAGGAATCCGTGAAGAAACTATTGAATATACAAGCATTACCATGAGAGCAGACTCCTCAGGTACATCTGGTTATTACGGAAATATTAAACTACTATGTTAATATTTCTATAAGGTATGGATACATAATTACTCAGAACCTTAACGAAAAATATGAAGCTTGATGATGAGTTAATTTCAGTAGCAATTAGATTTTTCTTTACTGCTGGATTTTCTTGTAAACATAATTTTCCTGTCCATGAATCTTGTTCTTTGAATAAAGTGTGTTTTGAGTCATACTTGTGACTTGAACATTCTGTTCTGTGCTTTCTTAGCTTGGAGTTCCTGGTTCCGTTCTCTGCTTAATCACATTCTGACTTCTCACGCAACTTCTTTTGGCATATAATTTAGAGCAACAGTGTCAAAACCGATGAAATTACTTAGGCTCCGAGTTCCATTAATTGAGAGTCTGAAGGTTAAGAGCTCTAAACTTTCTAAATGCTTTCCAAATGTCACTCAAGTTTTTCTCTATCTGTACTCCCTATCTGTAAAATAAAGATAATGTTGCCTAAGCAGTTTAACTTTCAGAGAGGTGTTGAAGCACACTGAGTAGTGTGAGGTTCTCTGCTGTCATCGTGAGGGCTAACAAATACCCTAAGTAAAAATACCTGTCTCTAAAATGATGGAATAAGATAAGGTAGAAAATGGGATGGTAGTGGGACAATGAACTAGCAGTTATTTACAGGATAACAAAGTACATGGGAAAGGAAGGATGATGAGAGTTGCTGAAAGTGAGAGCTGGTGAGTAGTGAGGTGGATATGTAGCTTAATAGGAATGGACTGAGTCTTGGTACCCTGAGGCCTGCAGAGTTGTCTCTAGAATGTACCCAGGCTCTTCAAGGAAAAAAAATGTTTGTAGCATCCAGCCTACTGCTGTGAAGCACAGAGAAATAAATTATATGGATGTTTATCTTATATTGGTAATTTGTATTTGAAAGGAATTGATTTGAAACACTGGAATCACAGGCAACTTTTATTGCCTTCTCATGGTTAAGAAAAAAGAAACTTAAGAATATCAGGTGGAAAGGACATAAATAACTCTATTCTTGCTTTTATTGTACCTTCCTGGCTTACTAAGATTTCAGCTTAGATCTGGAAGGGGCAGAGGGAGTTTTTATTTATCGGACTTAAGGATTCTGCATACCTATAAAAGAACCTAGCATGTGGCCCTGCCAGCAACTCGTTGAGAGGAAACAGCCTAAGAATGAGGACATTGAAAACTGAAGAGGAATTGATTTCTGCAGAGTGTTCTATGTGGCTCAACTCACTCACTGCTAGGATTTCTCATTGTTTGTTTTGTGTTTACATACAGCCAAAGAGTGTTGTGTGTTCCCATTTCCAAAACATTTCCAATTTTGGGAAGATTCTTCTTAGCTAGAGATTGTTTTCATATGGCAGGAGACTGAGTTTAATGTGGCTTTTTATTCTCTATGAGAATTTGCCAGAGCTACAGCTAAGCTTAAAAAATGCTTGTCCTGTAACCCCAATTTTGCACTTACTAACTTGGTTATTTAGTGGTCCTTTCTCTTAGATTTGTATTAATGTGAAGTTTTAGCAGAAGCTTAATATGGGGAAAGTTTTGGCTGTTACCGGCTTGTTCCTTTATTCAGGGATGATGGGGGTAATGTTTAAAATTCTCATTTGAAATAGTACATCTGTGTAATTCCTAATCTTTTTTTGAACAGCCATGAAACCAAAATTACTGAGGAGGTAACTGCAGTTTGACTCAGAGGATGGTATGGATGGTGGAGTTGTGCCTGGCTTTGTTCCAAAGGCGGTTTGGTTCTAGTGTATACACAAGAGAAATTTGTTTCCTTAATTAGCTTTGTCAGTGCTTGCATAAGGACTGGCATACTAACAAGCATATGTAACTAACTAGTGTTTTGCAGTGGCATGTCTTGTACCAGACTGTCATGAGTAATTGCCTTCAATGTTTTGAGAAACCCAAAACCCCGTAAGCTTGCCTTTCTCCATGAGGTTGTCCTTATGTACTCAGGACATGTGAGCACCTGATAAAATCCTTTCTGCAACAGAGGACAAATCAGTTTTCCTTTGCTCTTCATAGACTTTAAATGACCTAAGCAGAACTCTGTATGAAAGCTGTAGTTAAAATAATAGTTTGACTTTACTAATAATAATGCCTGATAGAAAGAACAACACAGCAAGGGAAATTGATTTTTACATTTTATTTCATTCGCTTCACAGCTAGTTCATGGAAAACCTAAAATGCACAGGCTTCTGGAGTTCCCTCTGAAGTGTTCAAGCCTGGCTTATATACATTCTATAAAAGTTTCAAGAAATACAGGCAGGATAAAAGATGGCTGTCTTCTGAGTACCAGGACACTCAAATGTCTCTACCAATAATAGATTATACCTACAGACCAAGAACAATGTTGGGATTAGTTCACTGTGGTCCCTAACCAGATCCAACGCTTACCATCAGAAATTAATTGTCAAGGATACTTGTTTTCCTGTAGTATCTGGCTTAATGACCCTATGGCTATAGAACACTTGCCCAGCTGGCCTTAGAAATCTGCAAGACTGACTTCCAAACTTGGTTTTCAATGCTGTCTTCACTGCCTCTCCTTGCTAAGAAACATAGGAGCAAAATTTAAAACTTTATTAATCCTGTAAGTGCCCAATCAAGCTGCTGGAATTGAAGGCAATATAAAATTCAGAGTTATACTTGTGATTGTTACTAGTGGTTTATACGTTATGGTAGAGGACTTGTGTAATGCAGTGAACTGGATCAAAGGTAGCCTGGACTATATTTTGAGCTCTTTGTCATCTTGGATGTTTCTATTTTTCTGCTTCTGCCTCCAAACTGTTTGTGTTTGAGTGTGGCAGTGTTTCTCTGTGGTTATTTAGAAATACCTAGAACACTGGGATCTTAACTCCAGTGGGAGTCCTCCCGACCTTGATGATGTATAATGTAGCACATGTTTTTGTGAACTAAACTACTCATCTTTATTTTCCTATATAATACTTTGCAGACCATCTCGTTGGAAACCTGCACTTTAGTTTAAAAACTGTGAAGAGTAATGGACTTACAGATTAAGCAACTCTACAGCACAGTAATAAGTACAACCTTAGCAACGGTGACTTACTAACGTATCATGTACATCCTAATGTAAAAGCATGACTCTAGGGTGTGTATTCCTCTACACATACCTGTGTGTATGTACATTCTTCTGTTACATGGAAGTGCTTGTTACTTTTAAATATAAATGTAGGTAGATGACACTTAAATCAAGAGGCAGGCTACTCACACTCCCCCCCACCACCCAAGTGCATAAATTCAGAAGGAAGGAGGAGCAAAGATCCACACATAATATCCAGAGGCACTGTCTGTCTCCACAGGTAATTCTTTTACTGGTATTTACTGGCCAAGAGGAACATGGAGCTAGTTCGTGACGGCCCTGACCTCAGGCAACCCTGTCCATCCTAGATTGAAACTTGAGCAGGAAGGCTACTATATGTGCTTCTTTGCGGTCATTGTTCTAACCTCCAAGTAGCAGATGTCTCATTTCAAATCCAAACACTTGCCCCCACAAACTGGAAAAGTAAGTTCCTTACGGCAAGGAAAAATAAGCTGTCTCCAATGGAAAAAACTTACATGAATTAAGTTCTTGGCCATCTGGAGTAGTTGCAATGCATAGTTTCGCTGGTGCTGTTGAGGAGACTAACCTTTCTTTTATCTCCCATATAAACATTCCAAAAAAAGGTTGAGATCTAGCGCTTAGTCAAACTGGAAAAGAACTTGCTTTGTCAGTATTCTGGCTAATTTTTGCATCTAGAAACTACTGTAATCACTGGCATAAGAAGTCCTTGGTAAACAGTGTGCTAAGAGTTGTGAAGTGAAACGTTCAAAGTGCCGCTGAATAGTTTCTTGAGGTTGTTTGTCTATGTTGTACCACGCTTTTGCCCTTTAAAGAAGGGCTGTCGGACACCAAGCATAATCTCTTGCTCAGATTAGACAAGGAGGCCTGTACAGAGACATAATTCAGTCTTTGGCAAGCAGAGTAGATGTTAGAACTGCTTGTAACTTCGCCACACCCTAAGACCTGAATGTGACTGGCTGTGTGTGAAGAGTTGGTAAGCCCCTACGTGTAACCTCATGGTCTTCAGGGAACTAATTTATACTCCTGACTGGAGTTGACACTTTTGCCCTGTTTTCATGTATATAGCATTGCTACAAGCACAAGTAAAGGATAAAGGGACAGTTGCCTAAAAAGGGATGCGCTGTCTGGACAAACCATCTTTCTACCCATTTCTTGTTCTCCCTCGTACTTAAAATGTATGTATTTATTTTCTTGTGACTCTGCTAATCAGTAATAAAGCAGTTCTGCTACTGTGCTTTATATAACCCTTTTCCTGCCTGTTTTTTTTTCTCTGTATGCCAACAAATCAAGAATACTTTGTAGAAAATGATCTTATATATTCTAGTCATTCCATCCTGCTCCAGAAGTGTTTGTGCATGGGACATACAAATTTTAACTTCTGTCTCATTTGCTTTTTCTGGTGGGTATTGGGCTCCTAGTTCCATTATATGATTCTACACAACATCATGTTGAGTATCAAAGGAGCATCAAGGTGCTATTAAGTGCATTGTGCAGCCACTAATCTGAAGATGAGGAAACCACAGACACCGACGACTGTGACTTGCTGCAGATCACACATCTGATAGATCTGATAGAAGTTACTTTTCTGAGAGGAAAAGAAGGCGAAAAAACACCTGTTTTAAAATAAATGGTATATTACCCATGACTGACTTCTATTTAATGCCTTCTTGCAGAGATTTGTTTTTCTGTCGTGTTGGAGTGCATCATGTCCACTGAAAGGATTTCTTTGCTAGTCTTTTCATCTGTAGGTATACAACAACCCTCGCGTAAGAATAGCAAGTTCTCACTTCTTCAGTAGTTAATTTCCTTTAAAAAAAAAATTATTCTGCTGGTAGTATCTACCCCTTACGGCTAGCTTTTCTCCCTTTTTCTTGATTCAAGCTGCTATGAAGGATCATTTATAGGAAAGGAAGAGTTAAACAGGCTGGAAGCAGCATAGCACTATTGACCTTGCAGCACTCCAGGCTGTTAGCAGATGTTTCATAGGGCGTTTAGGTAGCAGCCCAGCCTGAATAGGAGGAGTCAGGATAAGAACAGACCTTAAGGATTTGGGGAATGAAAATAGTGCAAATCTCATATAATAAAGGCATAAATGTGTTAGAACCTGTCTCAGTTTTCAATTAAATTGCATAATATTTATCTGAAAATATCTTAATTCTACAGGAAGAAGAGAGAGGGGATGTCCCATCTTCACTTTTGCTTCTGGTGTTTTCTGTCTTGAATGTTACCCATTAGCCTATAGGTACTGCAAGATACCAGTACTACAAGAACTCTGTCGCCTTAGGCATGCAATGATCTTGCTTATGTGGCTTCAAGTTCAGCAGTGTATTATCAATCTAGATTATGGATTTAAGCATCTTCCCCTATCTTATATGCATGATTAAATAATGAGTTGAATCAGAAATGTATTCTTCTCAGTATGATAAAGTATAGAATCATAGAATCATAGAATGTTTTGGGTTGGAAGGGACCCCTAGAGGTCATCTAGTCCAACCCCCCTGCAGTGAGCAGGGACACCACTAACTTGATCAGGTTGATCAGAGCCCCATCCAACCAGGGATGGGGTCTCCACTGTGTTACAATACTACCACTTCAAACTGTTAAACAGTTCTGCAAATTTTATTATGTGAATCAGGGAGAAAGAGGTGGTGTGCACTCTTTTTTCTTTAAAACCTGGAAAATAGAAAAAATAAAATATTTATATTCAAATTAAAAAAAATAATCCCAAGTATGAAACAACTAAATATAACACAAAATGCATATGCCTCTGTAACTGAAGAAAACTAATATTGAGCAATGCTTTGCAAAACTCTAGGGTAAGAAAAAATGAAGCATGTTATCCAGCTGAAACTGTGGGGGAATTTTTAGGTAAACAGAATGGAATTTTTCTACCTGGATTGGACTAACCTGCCTGCACATAAATTGTGTATCCTAAAAATTACGTGCAATTATGTAGCAATAGTAATTTTAGCATGTTCCCTGATTTCCAGGATAAATTATATTTGGAATTCGGTTCTGCAAGGTCTTGAAAATAAAGTTTGTGCAGTTTGAAATGCTTTGGTTTCTCAGGTAACATCTTCTTTTTGTCTGGGAGCTATTGAGACTATAACATGAACACCAGCAGAACTTCAATGGCTCCATTCAGCCTGAAGAAAGGCATCAGAGAGTGCAGATCTAGATCTCTTACAAAGTCTTTTTCTGAGTCTAGGTTTTGGTTTTTTAACTCTTATTCATATAAAAATATAAAGTTCTTCAAAGTGTGGTTTTTGCTGAGCCCCTTTTTGGCAGCGAACATACTTTTTACCATTTTGATTGTTTTGACCATTGCAAACAAAGAAAATTTCATAAAACATTTGTTTTACTGCATTACATTGGATGTTTATTCATGTTATAGTGAATAGACAAGCAGAAAGGTAACTAGGTGGATTTTTGATCTGCTTTTGATATATCTTTACAGCTTAGATGTAAATTGGTTTTAAAATGTGTTTTCCTTGGTTACATGATTTTAAGAATTATGGGGAGAAAAAAATAATTTAAAAAGCACTTTCATTGCAAATTGATGTGACAGTGCTGGCTGAAGTGTTTTGTGGGAGAATCATGTGACAAAATGTGCTTGTCGACAGTACTGAGCGACATGGAAAGTACCACAACTTGACTTGGAGCATGTGGTTAATCAGTTTATTTAATATATTTGATCAGGTTGTCATGATGCATGAAGCACCTGAATGTTATTTGTGGTGGAGATCAAAACATGAACTTTGCAAACTTTTCTTTTTCTGATTAAGACTTTGTAGATGGAAATCAGTTATGCCTGCTTGTGTCTGTAACAGAACAGCGCTTCGCTGAGCCATGACCATTTCCTTCAGAATTTGATTGGTAGAGCACTGTACAAAGAGAATCCTGAACCACTTGGTCTGCAGCTTCTGGTCTAAAAAAGTTCATACTGACGATCTCAGTGCACATCACCATTTCCAGTGCAAGTTGTGGTGAAAGGATAGAAAGCACATCACAGTAATCTACAGGTTGAGAAGCTGAGTTCCTCCTCTGACATACACATGCCTTTGTTTCCTCATGAAATGAATCAGACCTGAGACTTTTCTGTTTCAGGGTCAGATCCATGAAGATTACCCTAAGATGATGAGCACATGAGAAATATGTTCTTTATTTATAATTTAATCACATTTGTCCTTTGCTACAATATAGAGTATCTTGGATTCTTTCTCCTAGTTCCTTTCCTTTTGGTGTTAAAAACCTGGAAAAGAATATATGTCAACTTCCTCTAACTCAGAAGAGCCCTGAAATTTTTAATGACAGTTAAACTGTGTGCTAAATTCAGCCACATGATGAATTAGAAAAGTCCAGTTTGATCATAAAAGTCAGCTTGTTGAAATTTAAAGTACATCATGCAGTGGGTACATCTCCAGAGTTTGTATCACTTCACATATAAGCATAGAACTGCCCTTAAAAACAAATCATACCTAACTCTGATTTTTCTAGCTAAAATAGGACTATTTTCTTTTGCGTTATTTCAACTGATTAAATAACTCCAGTCCTTTAAAATGTTCTTATCCTGTGTCAGCTGCAGTACTGATCAATGTGGGTCAAAATATGATTTTAGAGAGGTCTTTTCCTCTGAAACCAACCTGCTCAACTGTAATTAGGTATTCACATGGCCTTACAACCTCATTACTGTAGTCTTTGAACATTGCATGAATATTACCAGTTTTAAAATAATTTTCTGCCACACAGACAAGCAGTTTTATTTTTTATTGTTTCCTTCTATAACATTTACACTTGCCTGGGAAATAGAAGCTTCTTACAGCAAGTGAAGAAAGTGAGAAACTCTGAGAAGTCAACAAGTTTAGAAGAAGAAGAACAATCCTGGTTACTGTTGAAAATGTTTGCTTTGCTAAGCAAATTTCCTGAGTAAGGTAAGGCAAGGAAATACCTTGCTACCTTGTTGATCTAGTCACTTGATTTATGTTCAGGAGGAACACTTTTATGAATAGAGTATACAGGACGAAGAAACAAAAAACGTTGGTTTTTTTTTTATTATAAAGCTAACTTCTGGAGCTTTCAAAACATTTTGTCCATTCCTGTGCAACATACATTAATTGACTATTCCTGTTTTAAAAAGCTAATGTCGTAAAGGATAAATACGAGTAGGCAAGGAAAAGCAAGCCAAGGTGGAAATACAGATTGATGCTAATTGCAAGGTATGAACAAATGTTAGCCACGTTTGTGCGTTCCTTCGCCAGTAACAGAATGGATTTGTCAACGCATTGCAGAGCAAGTAACTCCACAAAAGCAGTTCAGTCTGAAGGTGCTTCTGTAGGGGCTTGAAAAACATTTGAAGTGTTTGTTATCAGAAGGGTGAAGTGAGAAGTGGGGGGAAAGTAAAGCATAAAGATTGAATGATCAGGTGTTCGGGTATGAGTTAATGGAATTCAGTAGTTTGGGGGACTTGGGTTGGTTTTGGTGTTTTTCTCTGAAGAAGTAAAAAGTGCTGGCTAAATTGTTTTGTCTTAATATTAGGGGTAAATTGGGAAAAAAGACCAGTCTAGAACTCAGTTGGAGAAAAATGGACAGTTTTTGTAGAAACAACTAGATCTGGGGCAATTAAAGGACGATTAGAGTTAAATGATTTGATGATACTATAAAGCTTCAGTCAATTTTACTGACTGCATATAGACTTAATTTTCTCAGGTTAGTTCGAATTCAGGGGAAAGAATATGTACAGCTGCAGTGAATCTGCTCTCTTAAGTTAGGGAAAGCATATACCCAGGCATTAGCCTGGGTCAGGTTATGAACCAAAATGTGCTCTAACACCTCTAAGCATGCAGTGGGAGCTAGAAGTGTGTACTTCTCACCCAAAGAGGCAGGGGAATTGTGTTTCATCTGTCGAGAATTAAATCACCATCGAAAGATTCTGAAACCATGAGTGAAAAAGTTATCTTTGATTCTGTAAAAGAAATAAGCTGGTATACACGATTCATTTTTAAAAAGCTGTTTGTTCCAAAACAAGGATGGTGACAGTATTTTACAAGTTCGCTTTGACAGTAGTATATTTTATGAATTGTCTTGACATTGTTCTTCTTCTCCTTATGGGCTTATACTGACCTCTCCTATTTCTGCAACGCCCTGCTGTGAAAGCAACAGTACAACAGCAAAGGAAGATGAGAGAAGAGCAAAGAACAACAGGAATCAACCAGACACCCAACGCTGCAGCTTCCCAAGCAGGTGCCTCATTATCTGAAGTATAATTCCTACCACTGTAGCCTTTGGTTTCATTTGAGTGTTGTTTACTGCTGTTCACACGAGGAGGAGTGGGCATGTGGGATAACACCTCAGCAGATTTGGATATCAAAGTTGAGGGTACAGTCTTTTTTTCCGAGCTGGTGATTGACCTAGTGCTTACTGAAGTTGTACTTGTCCTCTTAGCAAAATTATCATCCAGTGGAAAAGTTTCTGCCCTGGAATAAGTGGTAGTTTCACGGGTTTTGACCATCGGGCTTGTACTGGAGGTGTAAGTGTTTGCTGTTAAGCCGTGGCTAGTGGTAGAAGATGAAGCTTGGAGCAGAAGAGAACTTGATGTGGCATTATGATCCTGGCATCTTTCCCACTCAGTGGCCTTTGTAGTGTTTTGCTTTTCATATTTACTCGGTGAGGAGTGAGTATTTGGCTCTTTGGGTGTCAGTTTTTCAAAAATAAGAAGATCTGGATCAATCCCTATTAAATCATAGACAATGTTAGTTTATGTGATAAAAGCTCATCTGCACACCCACAAAAGGAGCACAGGGAGGCAATGGCAGGTCAGGGAGCCCAAATAATACCCATCAACACCTTCTGGACTGGGGGTGTCACTGCTTAGGGTTATGGAACACTTTGTGGGATGTAAAGGAAGCGGATTTTGGGATTGCACAGGACTTACTATGGGATGCTTATGGAAGGAACCAAAGGTGAGGAAAGGGAGGAATCTAGGTTACCAGGGTGTAGGGGAGTCCCAGCCAGCTCTGTGTGTGACCAGCAACTGGAAGGGGGCTGCTCCCTCGGGGGCTCGTACATCCAACAGCAGAGAAGACTGGGGTCCAGGGGCAGCTACTAGGCAAACTCAGCAACTGAGTCCAGCTGCTCGGGGGATTCACGTTGCACATATGTGTATATATATCTCTTCACTAGCAGATCTCCATCCTGTGCAGCCAGAGAAAGCAGGATGTGGCTCTTGGTGCTGCCTGTGTTCGTGTGTCTCCTTTATGCATATGTCTCTGTAACCTGTGTGGCTGGCTGCATATATATGTATGCTTGTGGTATGTGTGTGCACTCTTTGTGCGCGTGCCTAACGGGAATACATTTTCAGTCTTGCTGCTGGTTGGAACTGGAGAGACATGGAGCAGTGGGCCGCCTCGCCTCTCAGTCTCTCAGATCTGGTATGGTATTTTCCCCAAGCATAGTATTGATTAGGTACTCAGAGCATGAAACCTGAAAGCAGGGAGTATCTTTGAGATCCTTTCTCAAATACTGAATGGAAGAAAGGGGGAACTAGTCTTAGAATTAGGTACATTCATGAAAAAGGAAAAAAGTCTTATGCTTTTTTTAGCATTGCATGTTACTGCAGAAGATCTTTTAACACAGCATCTGACCTAGTATAATTTTAACTTTTCCTATAGTTGCTATGTTTTCAACCTTTATAAATGAAATGCTTAGTTACCTGTTGTGATGTTGTACAAAATGACATTGATTCTAGCCTTTAGTATGCAACTCTCCAATGCTGGGCAAGACATGTGGAGGCAATTCATACTCTCATGAATAGCTCCATGGTAGAACACTGCCAGATTGCAGGAAACTGTAATACAAAAAGAATGCAGTTGAGCTTACCAGCATAACGAACACTGCATTTTGCATGTTAACATGAGAAGATCATTAATACTGGGCAGCTCCATAGTACTTTAAATCTGTGGCTCTCTCATTATTGTGCAAACTAATTAAGCACCTAGTCAGTAAAGCAGAACTACTTATAACTCTATTCTTATTTGAAGAAGAAGGAATAGAATAACTACATGTGCCTTTGATAAAACAAAATCATCTGCTTTAGCTTGTAGTCCTCCTACCAGTTGCTTTCCTTCACGTCTCTGCTGCAGTGAGCGGACCATTTCTAAAAGTAAAGTTATCAAGGAAGAAAACTTTGAGATGTTTGCTCTTGTGTACTATACCTGTCTACTTGAAACTGGACTGCAACCGTTCATTTCACCCAGACTATTAAAAAACAATCCTGAACTACAATAAGTGAGAGACATCATGCCCCACTGCCAGTCCCCAGTCGTTTTCCATGTTTGTCTTTAGGCTATTGTATTTCTGTGAATAGAGTAGTTTAGACAATTCTTTATTTATGTTTGGAGTTTCAGTTCTATCTTCTCACATCAGAAATCAGGGTGAAGGTAATAATGAAAAAAATGCCTGAACAACTTGTCACTAGAACCCAAGTTTCAGAAGTATAGAGATGCCCGAATCCTAGGGGTTTAAGATTTAGATTGAAAATATATGCTGCATTACTTATGGTTAGAGTCACACTACATAAAAAGCAGGAAAAAGTCTCTCAGTGTATTTCAGGACATCAAAATCTCAAGTCAAAGTATCAAGTCAAAAGTTAATTTTATCTTATATCAATGTGCTTGGAGCAGGATCAATGTTAGGTTTTTAGTCATACGAAGTTTTGGAGGTTTTATTTATTTTATTTTACCTGCCTTGAATGTAACTTCCATACCTGAGCTAATACAGCTGGCTGCAATTAAAAAAAAAAAGTATTGGCAGGGCAGGGGACACATTCAATAGCCAAAAATACTCTATATTATTAAAACAGCTAAGGAGAACTTTTCTCGTACTGATTCTGACTCTCAAGCTTTGCACTTCAGAAAATTGTAGCATACTTTCTGACTCTAAATTGGACAATTTGTGTATGAAATGAGCTTTTGAGATAAGATCTGTATTTGTTAATGTAACTGTCTAGAACATGTGAATTAATAGGGCTGAAGAGTTGCTTCAGGCGAAGAATTCTAAAATAATTCTGTGATTTTTTTTTTTTAAATATTGGAAAAGCATTTTGGTTACGGTACATTCGTATAACAACCTCATGAAAAAGCTTTGTTTTACATGAATTGTTAGGAAACTACCTAGCTTTATAAATGTATTCTATTTACTTAGGTATTTATTCCAAACATTCTCCTCATATTTGCAAGTAATGAAAATAATTTGTAATACTTCTGCAATGAACAACAGAAAAAAATCATGCAACTCTTCCTATTTTATGTGTAGTTAAAAACCCAATAAAATCCCTAACCTATCTACAAATGAGAAAAGGAAGAAAATACACTAAAGCCATGCTTACTGTCTTTTCTGTATTACTTGTATTTTTTTCAGTCAGTAGCCTCAGTACTGCATCATGGATTAACACAGTAAACATACACCTTGGAAATAGTTTTTTCCATCATAATGAACTTATCTACCCTAAGAGAGAAACGATTTTCAAAAAATGTATATGATTAATTTGCATGTCCTATATCTACCTCTAGTTAGGCTTTATCAGTTTCCAGTTATTTGTCATAGGAACGTGAATTTAGAGTAGATATTTATGAAAGTAAGACTGGTACAAAGACGCTTATGGTTATGAAAACGATAGAAGAACATAACTTGCGGGAGAAGACTGGTACAAAGACGCTTATGGTTATGAAAACAATAGAAGGGATTATGAAAGGGTTATGAAAACAATAGAAGGAATTACCTCACTTGTGGGAGGCAATTATAATCTTACAGGGATTACACAAAGCTCTGGCTTTATTATATACCAATTGGTTGACATTTTTCTTTGAAATATTAGGAACATTTAGTAGTGTAAGAGAAGCATATTTCATAGAATCATAGAAAGGTTTGGGTTGGAAGGGACCTTAAAGATCATTTAGCTATAACCCCCCTGCCATGGGCAGGGACACCGTCCACTAGACCAAGTTGCTCAAATCCCCATCCAGCCTGGCCTTGAACACTTCCAGGGATGGGGTATCCACAGCTTCTCTGGGCAACCTGTTCCAGTGCCTCACCACCATCATAGTGAAGAATTTCTTCCTTATATCTAGTCTAAATCCACCCCCTTTCAGTTTAAAGCCATTACCCCTTGTCCTGTCATTACATTTAGCCAGTACATAACTATTTTGATATATTTCCTGAGGACTACAGGCATTTCTACAGGTGATACATAAAAAACACTGGCTTCTACAGATAAAAGAATTTAAATTCCAGTAACTATTTTTAAGAAAATAATTCTGCATATAGAAATAGTTCTAAGCATCAGTAAACATCTTGCATCATTTTAGCATAAGTTTTGGTAACTGGTACCTCACTTTCATCCTCCATATCCAAAAACTTTTCACTTCTTGTGAGTTTTGCAGTCAAATTTAGGCACCACGGACACACTCTTCATGTGCACTCCTAAAATATACTCCCATGATGTACCAATGCAGTGTGATACAGAGAAAGTATAATCTTTGGTTTAAGACAAACAATGATTTTTCATATTTTTATTCTGTGTCTGAGTTTACAAGGCTAGGGAAAAGGGGTTGCCAGCTGAATAACAGCTATTAGGTATTGCTACAACTTTGTAGTTCATATTAATGTTATACCTGGGTTGCACCAGAAACATGATGTAAACACAGAATAAGAGAGTGCTCTTTCCAAGAAAATGAATATTTCTATATTTCAGAGAAGGACAAATTGCGTGTTCACTCCCCTTTCCCCCTCACCATGTCCTAGTCTAGTACCATACTCCATGAAGAAGAGTCCT